GGCAGATCAAAGCAGCAGTACTGCGCACGGAGTCATTGCCTATACTTACTACTGAGCTCCCTGGCTAGCAGCAATCTGTGGTTACCTTCCTAGTCCTCATGGGAGGTTAGTCTACAAAAGTATGTTAGCTACCATAGTAGGTACTCAATTTCCATGAAGAAGATTGCTTCATACAATGCAGACTACAACATAATTCTAGGCATGTTTGAAAAGGACTTCCTTTATATTCATAAAGATGATAAGACTCGGGAGGCAGAGGCAGGTGGATCTCTGTGAGTTCGAGGCCAGCTTGGTCTACAGAGCCGATTCCAGGACAGCCTCCAAAACAATACAGAGAAACTCTGTCTCGAAAAACCAAAAAAAAAAGATGATAAGAAATGTCCAATATTTTAATTATGTTAAATATTTAAATAATACTTTGGTTTATATTATATTATTTTAATACTTTCAAAATATATTTATTTTAAACATTAATAAAGTAGCATAATAACTCTAAAATCTAGTTATTGCTAGGGATATAGAAAATGCTGTAGCAACTTCAGCTAATCAGGGCAATTCTTACAATATTAATTCAGATGCGCAGTTGGAAGAAATTAAACAAATTATCAAGGTGAAGCAATAAGCAAGGGAATAAATTAGGAGAGTAATCTTATTCTGAAATGTTTTGTTTTAACTTATTAAAAATTAACTTAATACAAATCAATCATATGTACTTACATACACACAGAACGATGTCTTGCTTTCTCTGGTAATACCGTAAGTGAAATAATTATAATAAAAACTCTAATTTTATAAAATTATCAATATCCAAGGTTATTTTTAGATGTTTTACATTTTTGTATTATAGTTATGGGACTCTGCTAAAGTTGCTAACTTTCACAATGGCATTTGTCATTTATTCCATCTTATACTGTTCTTCAGTCCTCCATGTTCCATTGTAACACATATTTACATTTGTGGCTTTCAGAGACAGCCAAAGTGTACAGCAAAGGAAAATATCATAAATCCACATGAAATTCTACTCTGCACTCTTTTATATATATTCCCCAGTCTGTAAAGGGGTATATTAATGGAGACTTCTACCTTTGTTCTTCAGAATGAACTAGCATCTGGTTGTTGAGTTCCTGAGCTACTAATACGTTTTCAAGCCTGACACCATTCATTTAGTATTTTGAAGGATATCATCTAATTCAATAAGTCAACTAATACTGTGCAAAGCAGTTGCCCATTTCTTTTGCTGTCTCTTTGGGGTACACCAATAATTTCTTGAGCCAGAATGAAAGAAAATACACATTGCAGTGATATATTATTTATAATTTATTAAAGCTTGCCTGAGGATTCAGAAAGCGAAGTCAGTCTCAAGATATAGAAATCAAACTGTGATGGCACACATCTTTAATCCCAGGACTCAGGAGACAAAAGCAGATGAATCTCTCTGAGTTCAATGCCACCTAATAGAGTATCAGAGCTCATGCCTTTAATCCCAGCAATAGAGAGATATATGATAGGAGAAGGTTCTTCTGTAGTAGTATGAGCACTGAGTCTCTAGCCACGTTGAGGTAAGCATAGCAGTCTGAGTGAAGTAGGAAGCAGTCTGAGGATTGCACCTTTGGTCTTAGCTGAGACAGAGGTAAGAGCTAGTGGCTGGCTGCTTTGTTTTTCTGATCTTCAGTTTGAAGCTTGAACCTCGATATCTGTCTCTGGGTCTTTAATTAAATTGTGTAACAACATATGTTGTTCATTTCCACATTCTTTGCTGAAATTTTACACCTATTGGACTGATACGTTATTGAAACAGCAAAAATCATCATCTTCCATACATATCCATATCTTTATATGGGTGTTTTATATGTTTATGTCCACCACATATATAACTGGTGCCCACAGACAAGAAAAGTGGATCATATACCCTGGATCTGTATTTGTATAAGGTTTCCAAGCATCATGTGGGTGCTGGAATTGAACTTGGGTCCCCTAGAAGAGTACTTAGTGCTATTAACTAATGAACCATTTCTACAGCCTCATTTCAATATATTTTTAATCTTTCAAGCCAACTCATGTATTTTTCTTAATTAAACAAATATGTAATGACTTTCTGCCTATGAGACCCATGTTGCTACACTTTCATTATCCATGTCATTGAATGTGTAGTGGTAGATGCATGTGTATTTAATACACTACCCTGTAAATGCAGCAGGAATCCACTTGACACATGATAAGTAGATAGTTCAGGAACATTAAACAAGTTCATAAGCAAGTACTCATTTACCATGTCAGATGAACTCCAGCTCTGATGCAAGATTTGTAGTAGCATGGAGCATGGAAGGAAAATCATACCTAGACTGACCAACCATTCCCTGCAGTTTCTGGCAATTGGCATAAATAATATCACATTACTAGCCCTGAACTTTACTACCAATTAATTGGAACTCTAAAATCCTATGGAGGATACTTGGTGATTAAATGAAATAGTACACAAAAAGAATACAAACTCATGCAAATGAATGAGGAGCAGCCGCTAGCAGAATTCTTCTAAATAACACCATCTTAAAACCTCCCCATGTGGATGAGAGAAAAATGCAACAACAAAAAAATCCTAAAATATATAACAATTCTTTTGGATATATGCCTAAGAGTCAAGTTGCTGGGTCTTGTGGTAGGTGTATTCCCATTTTTCTGAGGAATCTCCATACTGATTTCCAAAGTGGCTGAACAAGTTGGCACTCCTGCCAGCAGTGTAGAAGTGTTCCTCTTTCACCACAGCCTCTCCAGCATAAATTGTCATTGGTTTTTTTTACTTTAGCCATTCTGACAGGAGTGAGATGGTATCTCAGAGTTGTTTTGGTATACATTTCCCTGATGGCTAAGGATGCTGAGCACTTTCTCAAGTGCCTCTCAGCCATTTTAGACACCTCTATTGACAAATTATCTATTTAGTTCTGTAGCCCACTTTTTAATTGGATCCTTTGGTGTTTTGGAGACTTGCTTCTTGAGTTCTTTGTAAATTTTGGTAATCAGACCTCTGTCAGATGTGGGGTTAGCGAATATCTTTTCCCATTCTGTGGGCTGCCTTTTTGTCTTGTGGACTGTGTCCTTTGCCTTACAGAAGCTTCTCCGTTTTACGAGCTTCCATTTATTAATTGTTGACCTGTGCTACTGGTGTTATGTTCAGGAAGCTGTCTCCTGAACAAATTAGTTCCAGGGTACCACCCACTTTCTCTTCTAAGATGTTCAGTGTGGCTGGATTTATGTTGAGATCTTTGATGCATTTGGACTTAAGTTTTGTGCATGGTGATAGACATGGATCTATCCACATTTTTCTACATGCCAACATCCAGTTATGCGAGCACCATTTGTTAAAGATATTTTCTTTTTTCCATTGTATATTTTTAGCTTCTTTATCTAAGATTAGATGTTCATACATGTATGGGTTAATATCAGGGTATTCAATTCAATTCCATTGGTCTACCTGTCTATTTTTCTGCCAATACCAAACTGTTTTCAGGACTACAGCTCTATAATAGAGCTTGAGGTTGGGGATGGTGATGCCTCCAGATGGTGTTTTGTTGAGTAAGGTTGTTTTGCCTATCCTGGGTATTTTGTTTTTCCATACAGAATTGATTATTGTTCTTTCAAGTTCTGTGAAGAATTCTGCTGGTATTTTAATGGGGATTGCCTTGAATCTGTAGATTGCTTTTGACAGGATAGATGTCTGTTCCACTATGTTCACAGCAGCATTATTTGTAATAACCAGAACGTGGAAGCAACCTAGATGCCCTTCAAACAAAGAGTGGATAGAGAAAATGTGGCAAATTTACACAATGGAGTACTATGCAGCAAAAAAATGGAATCCTGAAATTTTCAGGCAAATGATGGCACTACAAGAAACCATCCTGAGCAAGGTAACCCAGTCACAAAAAGAGAAACATGGCATGTACTCTCTCATATATGGATTTTAGACATAGATCTGGGGAGTGCCAGCCTACAATCCCATGGCCAGAGAGTCTGGGAAACAGAATCTTCATTCAATGGCTGATGGAAGCAGAGGTAGACTCCCACAGCTAAACACTAAGCCAAACTCAAGAAATCCAGTGACAGAGAGGGAGGACTGATGAGCAAAGGGGTTAAGACTGGGCTGGTTTAACCCCCCGAAACAGCTGACCTGACAAGCTCTTGAGTCCCAGACTGATGCCTGGGAATCCAGCATGGGACTGATCAAGACACCCTGAATGTGGGTGTCAGTGAGGAGGCCTAGGTAATATATTGAGCCTTGGGTAGTAGATCAGTATTTACCCCGTGTATACAAATGGACTTTGGGCACCCATCCAACAATGAGAGATGCACTCTCACCCTGGACTCCTGGGGGAAGTGTGTAGGCCCTGCCATGGATGAAATGACAAACGATGGACACCCCAATGGAGGGCCTCACCCTCCCTGGGGAAATAAGGGGATATTGGAGAGGTTGGTGAGAGGGCATGGGAGGAGGGGAAGGAAAGGGAGAGGGACCTGGAATTGATATGTGAAGCAAACTTGTTTCTAATTTAAATTTAAATAAAAAATAAAATATATATGTATATATATAAAACAATTCATATCCATGTTCAAAACATGCATGATTAAAACTACAAGGTACCTCCTTGTCCTATGTCCTTGTCCTTTCTATTTTTATGTGATAATCCACACTTCAGCCTCATTCCTAGAACTGTATTTGTATCGTATTACACTAAGTATAAATCATCAAGAAAAAATTAAATGTAGTAATCAAAAATATAACATACAAATTGAATGTAATAATAAAAATATGATATATATATGTATATATATGAGAGCAAGCCGAGAACCTAGAGATTTTTTCTTAATTATAGACTTCTGTACAGTCAACTTAGCTGCCTTCCATAAATGGAAATAAAAGAGCTTAATGGAAAACTCACTTCTATACATTAAAAATCAAATTTGTGAAGATTTTATATAAGGCAAACCAAAACAACTTTCCATTTCTGGCTTTCAACATACAGCCAAGCGTCCTATTTTAATGAGTGAGGGGCAGGCAAGAGTGAGGGTAGCCAGCAGAGCTTTGAGAAAGAGCATTCTAGACACAAAAGCAGGCTTCAGTTGGCTACATGGACTTAACTGTCGTGGGTCTCCAGTATGATCTCATGGGATACAGCTCATTAAGCGACTTTATGGAAACATAAGAAATTCATTTCATTTGAGCATTATCCATTTCACATTTCCACTCTCCCAAGTTAACCACAGTTCTTGCTGTTCCATTGGTACAGGGGTATGCTGAAATTCAGAAATACATAAATGAGCTCTTCAAATAAAAGCCTACATCCTATTTGGTTTCTAGGTCTGGGGGGAATTTTATACAGCTGTGTGTTTTATCAAAACCGACTCTAAATACCTTTCAATGCACATCCAATTACCACATAGATCCCTGAAAGAAAAGTGTATGCAGTATTGAAGAGCACTGGAGCACCTCTGTAATGATCAGAAGCAAATGCTTCATGTAATTGTCTTTTATATTTCAGTTCTTTGGAATTATTCATGGTTTGTGCTGTAAGACAGAAAAAATGTTCAGAAAAAGCTCACTAATGCAGCCCATACCAACTACATTCATACACTATCTAATTCATGGGTCATTATTTTTGATACCAATATTCTTTAAAGTTTTATGCACTCTCAAGTTATTGGTACTGTTAAATAATAATCAGATTTGGGAATGTATTGAAATGTCTTGTAAGATCTAAAATTTCAACCTCAAAATTAGTAAGATAACCAACACAGAGTCTAGGTTTGAACAAACAGCCAAACCACAGAATGTTGAGGGAGAAATCATTCACAATTAGATTTACATGGACCCTAAAGAATTGGGGAAAACTTTCTTGAAAGATGTGGCTATGATAAATGATGGTTATAGTGATTTTACATTTGAAGCTGACAATCTAAAATGCTTTCAAGGAAGTATCCTGTGAAAAACACTAATTCTAGTTCCCTTCCTAATAAATAATACATTATCACTGCTGAAAGCTAAAATGCTTTATGTGTTTATCTTCTAAGATGTGACTAAATGATATTGACTTTTCCATTACATCAGGGTAGCTATGGAAGAGACAGGGTTTCTCTGTGTCTTTGGAGGCTGTCCTGGAACTCCTTTTGTAGACCAGGTTGACCTTGAACTCACAGAGATTTGCCTGCCTCTGCCTCCAAGTGCTAGGATTAAAGGTATGGATTAATTTTAAATGAATTAAGAAGTTGGTCACATTCTTGGATGTTTTGCTGTATCAAGTTACACTGGGGGACATTGGAATCTTCAAATATTTGATAATGTGATTGAAAGACTGGTAAAATTCTCATTAAATCTACTACCCTCTAGAGATGTTTGTCTTATTTTCTTGACTGTATTTTGGGTTGATATTTTTTCAGTGTCCCCACAGACTACTCTCTTCAAAGTGGTGTCCCTGGCTGAGGTGGCATCCCTGAGGATATATATTCTCTTTCCATGTGTTGGTGCATGTATACTTATTAACACATGATTGTTGAGGTCAGAGATCAAACTCTCCATCATAATTTTTAGGATAGGATCTCTCACTGAAGATGGAGCTTGTTGATTCTACATATTATCTGGACAACAAGTCTTAAGGATTCTCTTGTCTCTATCCTCCCAGAGCTAGGAATATAGACAAACACCATCACGTCCTATTGGTTACATGTTCAAACCTAGCTGCCCCCTACTTGCACAGCAAGCATTTAACCAACTGAGTCACCTCCCCAATCCCACTGGTTATTTTCAAAAATAGTTTTCCAGGAAGAAAATTTTATTTCTAATTTGTTAAATACTGGCCCGCAGAAGTATGGCTTTTGAAGTGCCTTATTGCTTAGGATATTTTGTCATTTTCTAAACTTAACTTTTTGTTTTGTTTTCAAGATTTTTCTTACTTGACATGCATGACTGATTTGTCTGCAAGCATGCCTATGTAGTAAGTATGTGGAATGCTTATTGAGCCCAGAGAGGGTGCTGGATCCCCTGAAACTAGTATTGCAGAATATTGTGAAGTGACATGTAAGTTCTGGGAGTTGGACTCAGGTCATCTGCAAGTGCAATAAATACTTCTAACCACTGAGGCATCTCTCTAGTCCCTGTAAATTTAAGGTTTTAGTCTTAAGAAGGACCTTTCTCATCTGAAATCAAGTCCAGATTAAGTTACATCTTGGGGAACTTTTCTATTTTTATTTGTATTCCATTATTTAATCAATATGGAATATTTCAATATGTTTTTCATTTCTATTTGTAATGCCTGATTACTCTGAAGCATTTTTCCAAAATAGATCAATTCCTATACATTTACTAGTTTAACCCTTTCTTTCCATAGAGATTTCCATCACACTTGATAGTAGGTAAATAAGGGAAAATCATTCTCTGATGAAATAAGTTCTGGAAAGGAAAAACTAAGTAGATTACTAGGTGAAAATTGGAATTTAGAAATAGCTAAGTAATTTAACTCTTGAAGGGCAAATTCAAATTAGTTTCTATTCTAATATTTTGTGTGTAGTATGGTGTGTGTGTGTGTGTGTGTGTGTGTGGTGTAGTCACTAAGCTATATTCAGTTTTGACTGTTACTACTGCTGGAATTTTCAAAAAAATTAAGTTTTAATTAATTAGTTATGAGTAAAGAGAGATTTGTAATCTGTGCCTGTTTTCTGGCTGTCTACAGGATTCTACTTAGCTACATGCCCTCAAAGTAAACATTGGCCAAACTTCCTAAGAGATTATACTGCATCAGAAACAAATGAATGAGCAATTCTTGGTTGAAAATGGATTAACCACAAAAAATGAAGTGCCGAAGATATTCCTTGAGGAAGACTTTTATTACTGTCCCTTGAAAGTAAAAATTTCAGTATTTCTGAGCTGACAGTCTAGCTACGGTGTTTTGTTTTACTTGTGTCTATGAGACACTGTAAGAATTGTATAAAACATTTCCTACAGAAGCTAATTTTGATACATAGAGTTCATCTGATTTTAATTTGTACAATACAATTTGAAATCCAGTTTGGTTTTTGTATTTTTTCTTAACACAGCCTCAGATCATCCCTCTCCGCCTTCAATGTTGTTCTGTATCTGTGCTCTGACTACAGCCAAAGTTTGGGATCGATTTCTTCAGGATATTATAACTTGTGCTCAATTTGCTGATGTTGCAATGTCTCATATTCTACTGGGCACAAATATTTCAAACATTACTCACAGAAATTAAAGGAAAGTAGACCCTATTGGAATGGAATTATTCATTGAATTCAATGCAGTCTAACTTGTCTAATTCCATGCGGGAGTCTTAAGTTTAAACAAACTTTCCATGGCAATCTATTTTCCAAAGACCTTTGCTTTGTTTGAATTCTTTTATAGTAGAACATTTTCCTCCATATGTTTATTCTCACAGACAAATACAGGAAAAAGCCCACTTGCTCTCTGTGACCTTTGTGCTTAACAACTATTACTTTTCTTAGCTCAAATGTAATTCTTTATTCGAGGGGCCCTTATTTAGAACACATGATAGGCATTCAGCATTTTCCAGTAGCCTCTGAACATTGCAGAGTATTTATTTACATTGTATAAAATTAGAGGAAATGAAGGGGTATGCATTTGAACTAGAAGCTAATTCTCTTTATGGAGAGGTTTCAGTCAATGTCACTTTAAGAAGGGGGAAAAAGAACTCAAGTTACAAACATTTTAAACAATGTAGATTTTTGTTACCTAACAATGAAATATATTATTCTGGTTTCTAAATAAGACCCAGGCTGTGAATTATGGGATATTTCTAAAAGTACATTTTGATCACTGTCTGAAAAAACTAAGATATATCCATCCATCTCTGCCAACTCAGCAAAAGGAAAACTACTTTAGAGAAAAAAAAAACTGTTCAAAGGGACTTGAATGCATCTAATAGGATATCTAATTTGATATGATTCTGTGAATTTTAATATTAATCATTCAGAAAATAAAATCAGCCACAGAATAGGTGAAATCTAGTATTATGTAAATGAATCTTACACTTGGCAGTGCTTATTGACATGCACAAGATCTCTTGTCTTCTTTGTTGCTTAAAACACATCCATGTTATTTATTGGGCTCAAGTTTAAATCACATGGGAATAACTGCTGTTAAAAAAGTACAAGTTTGAAGTCAGAAGGAAAAGCTTATAAACAACCTTCTCAATATTTCTTAATGAAATGTTGAAAAATAATGGTTTTCAGTTAAAAAGCCCAAAATACTTCAGAGTGACCATGTGTGATACCAGTCAAATAATGTAAATGACTATGAAATCAGGAAACAAAGAAGCTCCAGATATAAAAGGTAACGACAATGAACACATTAAATCTGATTAATGTATGTCCACCATCTCAGAGATTTAAGAAGAAAATGGATAATCATTCACATTTATACAGAAGACAGACATGAGTCATCTGTAATTTCAAGTATTGATTGAACAGAATCAGTTTTCTAATAGTTTAGCATACACTAAGCACTTGACATGTAAGTATTACCTAGAAAACATTCTGTATGTAACTTTCACAGATACTCACTTAATACATGTACTGAATGTTCTGAGCTCTGTGACTCCTGCTGAAGGTGTAAATAGGTTGGAACGTAACCATTCATTAAAATTCATAATAATTATTTTTAAACATAACTGAGTAATAATTCTAATAATGGATTACTTTCAAATAATAAATAATTGTATTCATATCATATATTTATATTAGTATATTACACATTTACATTAAATATGATTTTTTCATGCACTCCAGTGAATTCCTCCCTTTTTAAAAATTTCACAAAATATGAGCTGTGTCCCCTTAGTAGAAGAAAGTATGGATTATTTTCTAGAAGATATGGAAGTTAATTTCTACAGGTTGAAACACATATCCATTTTCTATAATAAATTGCCCACACATTTGTTTATTATTCATATATGTTTGTTGAATGAAATGGATTTGTGCAATTATAAAAATAAAGGTTACAAAGTAGCACTCATTGCTTTTCATGGTGTGTTTATAGAAATTTCTTTTCTTCTTTCTACCATACACTGTATGTATGGTGTGTTTATAGACATTCTTTTTCTTTTTTCAATTCCTATGTTCCTAAATATTCTTAGACTAATCCATGTAAGACATAAAGGCTATAGAGATGGTTGTCTTTTCTATAATAACAAGCAAAGGTGTGAAAAGTTGTATTGTAACCAGAAATATCCTATGGTAAGAAATTTATTTTCATGTATAATTATTATTTA